TACACATATTTATACATTAGATGTTCAATAAGGTCATTTTAGGACCTACCTTAACTTGGCAAAGATACAAGGCCATAACTTGGTCATTTCACATGGGAACATCTTATCTATGTTTAGACTAAAACGTAAGGGTGCACATGACGTCGGAAATTCACTGACTTGTGGAATTACACTAACCTAGCACAAGATGGCATCCTACAGGCTGAACACCATTGTATGAAAACCAATATGTTCCATTTCTAACAACTTGTCAGTTTGCAAAATCTCTTAAAGACAAAGTACACAGTTTAAGAAATACAGCTTTCCAGTCTAAAACCTGTAATATTTGCATATGCCCATAACAATATATATTTTACTTTTTTTTTAATGGAATTTTCCTATCACTAGTGCACTAGGTCTTTGCCCGTACAAGAGGTTGAATTAGACTCTGCATTCCTATTCTGGTTATGTACCGCGGACCATGGAGCAATGGAAGAAAGTTGCCTGGTCTCATGCATGATGTTTTCTTTTACATCAGGTGGATTTCCAGGTGCATGCTTGTTGTTTAGGTGGGAAAAAGATGGAAGGCCGGCAGGGGCAGTGTTATGCTCTGGGCAATGTTTTGCTGGGAAACCTTGGATCCTGGCAATCATGTGGATGTTTTTTTCACATGTACCACCCATCTAGAGATTGTTGCAGACTTCGTACACCCCTTCATTGCAATGGTGTTCCCTGACGGCAGAGGCCTCTTTCAGCAGGATAATGCACACTGACACATTGCAAAAATAGTTCAAGAATGGTTTGAGGAACGTGACAGAGTTTAAGTTGTTGCCTTGGCCTCTAAATTCCACAGATTTCAAACAGATAAATCACCTGTGGGCTGTGCTGAAACAACAAATCCGATCCATGGAGGCCTCACTTCCCAACTTGCAGGACTTAAAGGATCTGCTGCTAATGTCTTGGTGCCAGATACCACGGAACATGTTCTTACCACGTGCCTTAACACATCAGAGCTTTGGCAGCGCAAGGGGGGCAAACACATTATTAGGCAGGTGGTATTAATGCTGTAGCTGATCGGTATTATTCCCTCTGTTAACTCCTTAACCTTGCAGGGAATATTATGCGGCCCTGCAAAATGTGGGCTTTAATGCTGCAGGGTGGCATAGTAAACCTTGCGGATCTCTGCCCCCTCACCCCTCCTGCTGATTTACACTTACCCTCTGCGGCGATCTGGACAGGGCCGTGTGATCACGATGCCTCGGTTGTATCTTAATATCAAACTACACTTAAAAAAATAATATATATTTTTTTTATATATATAAAAATATATAGTATATGTATAATGGCACTCACCCTTACTGGTACACTGTAAAATCCAATGCCGTGGTGCAATCCCACGCTGAAATAATATAGTAAATAAGTATAAAGGATGCACTCTCCGTTCTTTAAATATTCCAAAATTATTTATTCCATTATTTGAAATGTAGCAAATTGATCGACGTTTCGACCTGTTCGGGTCTTCCTCAAGATCAATACATACTTTAAAAACATGCTTTATATAAGAAAAGATGTATAGTACTCATCAATAGTGATTGTGACCCTCTTCCCCCTGCTCGGAACCCGGACGTGTCCGACGGGCACCATGTGGGCTACGTAGTGATGTGACCACGTTCAACATACGTAAAGAAACGTAGTTGCTAGGAAGCCAATGTAAATAATTAGTAGTATAGAGCCGGTAGTACGAAACTCCGGCGGATAGAAATTTTGTGTGTATGTAGCGTGATTGCTGGGAAATGAATGTGTGTGCCAGGGAACAAATATATCTTATCAGAAATTTCCAAAATATAGGAGTGCTAAGTGATTAGTGACTCATAAGTGAACTACCAATATATTATGTATTCAAAGGATTGAAGTAGAATCCTATACATTCAAACTAATGAAAACTTGTGTGGTAAACATTAGTGAGAGTAATGTTCAATACTTATATAAATAGGAAAAGATCTATATCAATAAATCCTAAATAAAAAGATTAGGATTAAAAACAGCATTGAGCTGCCATAGGAAAAATTTATCACTATTACTCCTGAACAATATTGTATTAAATAGTTCAAAAAAAGTTATTTGGAAGATGAAATTCTATTAAAGGCTTGTAGACCCAAGAATATAATTAAATACATTGATTATATTTAGTACAAAATTTAGAGTTTCCAATTGGGGACACAATCACAGATGGTCGAACTTAATCATATAGAAACCCCTGATATAGTACAAATAGTGACTATATAAAGAAACAAGTATATATATAGAAAAAAAGAGAGAGCATGTGTGACATAATCATACTTAAGCTCATGTGTATATCACCGCTATAGGATAATATCATAACCTCAGTCATTATCTATTATGATGACCAATATCCAAGTCAGAATAAATGTTCTCAAGAAATATTAGTTCCAATTAAGGACCTTGACGTCACAAAAATATAGAATAAACAATGTTTTCATTCAGTCCTTTAGGTGTTACAGTATCTAGACGGTGTATCCAACGGGCCTCTCTTTGTAGTAACATTTTGGAACGGTCTCCTCCTCTCGGAAGTATGGGTATATGGTCAATTGCAGTAAAACGTAAAGTTGGTAATCGGTGGCCATGGCCCAGAAAATGTTTGGCAACTGCTTTATCGCTTGTCTTGTCTTGAAACGCAGTGGTGATGGTGGATCGATGACCTTGTATCCGATCTCTGAGGGTTAAGTTGGTTTTACCCACATAGGACAGACCACAGGGGCATGTAATCATATAGATCACATGGTCAGTGGTACATGTAATATATTGAGAAATGTTTTTTCTCTGGCCATTATGTGGATGGGCAAATGAGGTACCACTGACCATGTGACTGCAAGTGACACAACCACTGCATTTGAAGCATCCTCTTTTGGTAATTTTATTAGGTATTTGATAGCAATGTCTGGGATCGTTTTTTACAAGTAGATCTCTGAGATTTCTGTTTCTCTTGTAACTAAGCACAGGTGGATTTTGGAAGGTCTTAGGTAGTTGTTTGTCAGCTTGTAATAGTCCCCAGTGTTTGCTAATAGAGTTTGATATGGTGTTGTGAATCTAGAAAACAGTGTCATGGCTCTGTCATAATTGTTTTGCATATTCTGGGACAGTGCAGCCCGTGCCAGCCATCTGCTGGGATCCACTATGTGTCCTAGTCCAGAATCAGATCTGAGAATGCTGGAGTACTGCAAGGAAGAGGCCTGACTGTTGAGTGGAGGTTGAGGAAAGCCTGCAAATAAGAGGGGAAAAATGCATCAGCGGCTAAGTTATGACAACCCGGTATGTGTACGCATACCAGGAAGAACTGTTTTCTGGCAGCCAACCAAGTCAATCATCTGATCAGTTTCATGATAATGAGTGAAGAGGAGCAACCTTTGTTGATTGTCACATGCCGCAACATTATATGAAAAACATTTGACAGACTGCCCTTGCCACAATGCCCCCCAAGTGAATGCGGCTGCCACAATAGGATAGACTTCAAATAGAGCTGAGGTCTAAGACATCAAAGAGCAATGAGCTGCTTTTGGCTCCAAAGGTCAACCTGGCAGCAAAGTAATATTTTTCTCTCCATTTTATGTGGTGTAGATGCCATAGTGATGAAATAATGGGACGTAGTTTAAAATCGTTTTTCATATCCATCTTACTAAGCCATGCTGACCTGACCATCTGCAATTTGGCTAGAAGAGCATCATCTACTGATGCATAATGGAGAGAAAATTTGAGAGAATGAGTGAGTTAATGCTGGAAATGACAGAAGAATGTGGAGCAGAGAGGTTGGGGGGAGGGGGGAACAACCTATTTGGGCACATAGACCTAGTGTGAGCTCGGAAGCACAGGGAACAGACGTGCAACAGACAGCAAGCGCTAAAGCCGCAGCTGCCAGCGTTGAAGTTGTTACAAATCTGTGCTTTACCGAGGAAGACAATAGGTCTGCCCAATTTAACTTTCATCCCTTCAGGTTCGGAAGTTCCAGATAAGGCCTGACTAGTGGTAGGAGAGTCAGCTTCACTGGGACACAGATTGGTAGAATGAGATATAGAGGCGCAAGTAGCGCATGACCGAGGTATTGCAAAGTGGAGACAGAATAGTTCGGTATCTAATTGGAAGGTTGAACTGGGCCAGTGCTGCCGCCGGAATTAGCAGAAAAGCATGTATGATAGCCATTGAATGCATGAGCACCATATTTATGCCCCAAATCAACCAATTTGTGTAAATACAGATCCATCTCCTCTCTACTGTGAGGATGTTGAGAGCAAATTACGTCCCTATACAGACCAAATGCCAAGACGAATTCTGGGATGGAAAGTTTTTTTGTTTAACCTCGGATCCCTGGCCTTGAGAACGACCGAAATGTCACCATAGCAGAATGCT